TGTACTGGCTGTCCAGGCCCCATCGGGGTCTAACAGGTGTCCAGGAGGTCCCAGCCAGGCAGCAGCCCCCGCTGCCAGAATGTTGAAGTGGGTAGCGGGTACACGGTACCCTCAGAGCTGGCACAAGGGGTAGTGTCCCCAGGTACCAATTGTCCAGGCCCCAGAAGCTCCTGCCTATTTGTAGCACTCATACCATGGGCCTTAGGGCCCACCTGGCTAGCTAGTAACCCTGTGTGGGGCTAACAAGTGAGTGGTAGAGCTAAATTCTTGGGACAACTAATGAAAAAAAACAGGATAGGAGTGTCATGTTGGTCAAAGGGTCAAAACGTGAAAATAAGTGTGCCTGATGGGGACACCGAGCAGAGCCCCCTGGGCTGCACCCACCAGTCCTCAAAGGCACCCAAGGAGCTGCTGCACACCGTGCTCTGTGGGGTCCACCTACTCCTGCCTATCATAGTCCAGAAGGTCTCCGATAAGCATGACACTAGCCAGGATCAACCTCTGTCACAACCGGGGTGCCTCTGCTGTTGGCATCTCCAGCTGGGGGTTACAGAGGAGGGGCTCTTTGAGTAAGCTGGTGCCCTGGGTGAGTGTTGCGGGGGACCTGGAGGCAGGGACCAGCCTCCAGGCCAGGAGGAGGTCCTGGTAGAACTCTGGCAGCTTTTGCAGGTCCTGCAGGGAGAAGCCCTGCAGGCCGAGGAGCTGCCAGTCATATCAGAGCCCTCAGAAGTGGCAGAGAAAGGCATGCCCCAAGTGGCCCTATGTTACGTGGCTACCAACACCATCACTGCAGGGCCTGAATGCAGAACGTCAGGCCCTGGCTACCCTCAGAAGCTCCTGAGAGCGAGTAGCCCATAGCTACTTGCCAGGGCAGCTTTTTGTACTGATGGGACCAGGACAGGGCAGCTTTTTACACTGCTTGGGCCAGCGCAGATGCTGGCCCCAGGATCTAGCTCCCCCTGGCTGTAGATCTGGGAGGAGCCAGGCAGGGTTATTTTGCCCCAAGTGGCACAACTTGCACCACACCAAAGTGCATGGCCAGTAGGCCTGTGCAAAGCAGCTAGTATTCACTTCGGATTCAACTGATTCAAGGGACAGTGATTCAGTTCGGTGTCCCCATTCAATTCAGGCAAATGCAATTCAGAGGTTTGGCTGCTGCTGAATCTCCAAATCACCCAGGCCCTTCCCCCACCTGCTCTCCTAGCTCCCAGCACTTGGGGAAAAAAAGCCCTGACTCACTGGTTGCTGCCAGGCAGGGGGCGATCCCCACTGCCCCACACTGCATGGGGGGCTCTGCACAAGCCCTCCCCACACTGTCCCAGCCCCCACCCATGGCTGCCCCGCCCACTCCAGCTCTGGCCCTTTAAGAAACCCCCCCCGGACTCACTGTTCCTGCTGGGTGGGGTGCAATCCCCGCTGCTCCACACCACATAGGGAGCTCTTCCATGAGCCCCCCGAAGCCCTGAGGCCACTGCAGGAGTGGTGACTCCCAGGGTTTTTCTCAATTTTTTTTTTTTTTAAAGGGCCAGAACTGGGATGGGCAGGGCAGCCATGGCGGGGAGCATCGGAGGGTTCGTGCAGAGCCCCCCCATGCAGCGTGGGGCAGCAGGGATTGCCCCTCCTATTCGGCAGCACCCAGAAATGGGGTGGGTGGGGTAGTCATGGGGGGATTGGGGAAGCGGGCGAGGGGTGGGGCCTGGCAGAGGTCCCCCCATGGTCTCTTCTCCCGCCCCTACTTACCAGCTCTGAGTCCGGCTACAGCTCCCTGCTGCAGGCACTGGGGACCGTCTGAATCATCAAAGCTCTCTGAATCTTTTCTGAAGATTTGGAGAGCTTCGGCTTGATTTGGACCTTTTAATTGGTCCCCTGATTCAATTCGGATTTGGAGATTCGGCCACTGAATCAGGCCAAATATCCTCTGAATCAAATCACCACCTGAAGCTTCACACAGCCCTAATGTCCCAGCATGTGCGCCGAGGCAAAAAGCCCTGACTCAAATTTGCACCGCTTCTATTTGAGTTGCTGTAAGTACGTGTGTGGTATGTGCAGCTTACTAATCAGCTATAATGTTCATTAATTAACTTCACAAGATTTCACATGGGCAGCATTGTTATTCGTGAATTTATCTGAGAGCAAAAATGAAATCTCCTTTGTCTTTAACCTTATAATCTAACATCTGTTAAGCACTAACAC